ATTGCCTGACACAAGAAGAAGGTACTGAACTATTGAAATACTTATACTATTTTTAATACTTAATAAATGAGGCGACGCAGTGGAGCAGTAGGTAGTGCTGTCGCCTCACAGCAAGAAGGTCGCTAGTTCGAGCCTCGGCTGGGTCAGTTGGCGTTTCTGTGTGGAGTTTGCATGTTCTCCCTGTGTTCGCGTAGGTTTCCTCCAGGTGCTCCGGTGTTCCCCAAAGTTTAAAGACATGCGGTACAGGTCAATTGGGTAGACTAAATTGTCCATAGTGCATGAGTGTGAATGAGTGTGTTTGGATGGGTTTCCCAGAGATGGGTTGCAGCTGCGTAAAATATGTGCTGGATAAGTTGGCGGGTTATTCCGCTGTGGCGACCCCGGATTAATAAAGGGACTAAGCCAAAAAGAAAATGAATGAATGAACTTAATATATAATATTGAATACTTTGTATAAAAAGCATTTTTGGTAACGACAGCTTCAAGATGCCTCTTTTGGAGAATGAAGTGGCATGCATTGCTCAAGTGTGAGTAATTTCTCAGACTCTTTAGTTCTTATTTTCTATTGGGCTCAAGTCCTATACGCGAACTATGCAAGGTGTGTAAAGCTTCTCAAGTAACCTATTATTTTATTAATCTTTAAAGAGATTATTCACCCAAAAACTAAAAATGTATTCATCATTTACTTGAATTGTCATTTTTAAATCAACTATCCCTGTAATAATTTTAATAACATTTCCTTCTTATTATCTAAAATGTCACGCTTCCCTGTTTCTCTGGTTCCACTTGTGCAATCTTCATATCTGACCATTCATTATAGGCTCTTCGAGCAGTGACTTCAATATATTACAATCATCAATCAATATAGTACTGATGCAGTTATAAAAGAGCAGAAGAAATGATATATTGATGCTTTAAGCTGATATGCCGCCTATTTCAACATGACGCACATCCTCTAAATCTGTTGTCATCGTGATTATCATTACCCAGGCATTGTGTGATGGTGAGCAGGCAGAACAACATGGTGATCAAGGCTTATTATTCTCATCTTTGCCACTGGACAAAAGAAAGAAAGAAAGAAAATACAGCTTTTAGAGCAGGCCATTCAAGATGCACAGAAATCATATTGGGGTCACAAGGCTTTCTCAAAAGAAAAAGCCACTATGCACAGCGGAATAATGAAATAGAAGTCTTGAGCATGAAGCTTTTAACGTGCAAATTCAGATTTTTTCTTTGGAATTATTAGGATAGCGATGGCTGATCCTAGACCAGTATAAAAAAGTCATTCCGCACCCGCAGAGCCGCAGGCAGCTGAGGGGAAGTGCTCAGCAGTGTGCTTCATCACACAATAATACAACGTTAATGGCACAGAATGGTGTCTTTCTTCGGCCCTGAAAAACGTCAAGGCAGGATGTTTAAGGAACGGTGGTCCTAATTACGCTTTTTATACCCAACTCTGATGTGATCGGCGGTTTCAAAAGAGATGCATTATTGATCCACTTCACAGACAAGTTGTATTGATTGCGAAATCCTGATAAGAGTTTGACTTTCTCCTTCGTCTAACTCTCTCCACCCTTCTCTCTCTGCAATCAGAGAGCGAACTTCGAATAAGGGCTGGAAAATATGACCTGTGGGTGCTTTTTAAAACGCATTTTGATGAGGACGTGACAGAGGATGCCCCGGCTGCGTGGCTTTGTGTGCTGTGCTGCAATCATGTGTAATGGCTGAGCTAGTTGGATCCGCGTCTCTGCCTGAGTAGCAGCTACCCAGCATGGCTCTACCCGCTCCTGTCACACGCCTGTCGTACAGTCAACATCTCCGCAGCTTTGTTATTCCTCCTTGCCTCCAGAAAGGTCGCAGTGCTGTGCTGTAACTGCAGGACATTTCTATCTGTGTGTGTGTGCGTGTGTGAGTTAGTGTGCATATCTGTCTTCACTGCCAAAGATGACGAGGCCTGCTGAAATATTTGACATGACAGCAGTTATTCAGCACCCACAGCTCCTAAACAATAATGGCACAAGCAACACAAACCACACACAGGGACAAAGCTGTCATTTTATGCTGATCTGGGTTTCCTGATTATGGCTGCTGACCCTGACCTTTTTAAACTGACTCAACGTACACCATCAGCTGTGTCTGCTGAAATCTACACAAGCTACTAGTTTTGCGATCTTCCACAGGAAACCAAACCCTTTTTGTCATATTTCTTCTGACTGTCTGTCACAAATATATTAAAGCGATAGTTCAGCCAAAACCTTCACTTGTCACAAACCTGTTTGAGTTTAAGACGATATTTTAAATGATTTATGAAACCTGACTTTCCTGCTATAATGGTTACATACATTCATCAAAATTTTTCTTACAGTATGTGAAAAAAAAGAAAACTTGTACACTTCTGGGACCACTTGAGGGAGAGTAAATGTGTAAATTTTCATTTTGAGATGAACTATCTGTTTATGCATTCAATTATTAATTTTTTTTGTTGGCTTAGTCTCTTTATTAATCCGGGGTCGTCACAGCAGAATGAACCGCCAACTTATCCAGCAAGTTTTTACGCAGCAGATGCCCTTCCAGCTGCAACCCATCTCTGGTACATCCAGTCACATATTCAAACACACTCTCATACACTATGGACAATTTAGCCTACCCAATTCAACTGTACCGCATGTCTTTGGACAGTGGGGGACACTGGAGCACCCGGAGGAAACCCACGCGAACGCAGGGAGAACATGCAAACTCCACACAGAAACGCCATCTGAGCCGAGGCTCAAACCAGCGACCTTCTTGCTGTGAGGCGACAGCACTACCTACTGCGCCACTGCCTTCCCCTATCTGTTTATTCTGTTTAATATTTAATATAAGAGAATCAAATTTATCGTGAAGGGGCTTAAATCTGTCATCTAACAATTCCTCAAGATTTAATTCATTATATTTTCATAATTTCCGTACACTGTGATACATTGCAAGTCACTGTGGCCTCTGACAATAAATGTGGAAGTGGCTGAGTTTGTTAGAAGCTACATGTGAAGAGAGACATATACTTAATTTTCCTTTTTGGTCAGATTTAACTATACTTCATTCAGAGAAAAACATTTAAGAAATGTTTTAAAAAAGCACATGAAATCATCTGAGATGAAACCCTACTTACAAATCTTCCAACAAGATCAGTTTTTTAATTATAAAGCACAAATGAATCATTTTAATGTGTCATTATGGATTGTGTTATGTTTTATTCTTGCTTCCTAGAAGCTCTCTTATTTTTCTGGATGAATATTCAGATTGTCATTAGACTGCAATGAAAATGAAGTGGTTTCTAAGAAGTGAGGGCTAAATTACCAGGATCGAGTTTCCAGGAAGTGGAAGACATATAAAATCTCACAGACGCTGACTGAAAAAGGTCTTTTCACAGAGCTCATGCAAACAAAAGAACAATTTTGACAGATAAGGAACAAAGAGACTAACCAACAGTTTCAATTATAGTTCAGTACACAGAGTACAAACACAGGTCACGGTTTGACATCATTGGGACTTGTCCGTCAATTATTAAAAATGCTAAATAATGTTTATATGTAAATGTCGCAACGGTCTCTGAGTGGATAGTTAGGTCAATACAAAAACAGTAGTCTTTAGGAAAAATAGCCATCGTCACACGTTTGTGTGTGTGTGTGTGTGTGTGTGTGTTTGTGTGTGTGTGTGTGTGTGTGTGTGATTTATTGTATGTGCTTAAACTTACAATATGCATGTAGGCTGTAATGAGTGGTGATGAGATTGCTCTTCAAAAACATCAATGTGGTAGTAGCACATATGGGTTTGTTAATGTTGACCTAGTTTTGAAGTGGAAAAAGGATATTTAATGGTTGCCTGAGTGTGGCAATGTAAAACTACCACCACCTCAAAAAATAAACTATGGTGAAGATAGATGAATGCATTCTGAAAAATAGAGAAAATAAATGTTTCGGCAGAATAAAAATAAGTTTGTGAGAAATTTCACCCAACTTTCATGGTTGTGGCTGCACTATAAAATGTTCATCTCAAAAATTCTGCATAAGATTTTCTGATGGACCTTCATGCTTGTTTTTAAAAAAACATTTTCCATCCTATTTGTCACATCATGCCTTCATATAAAACTGCAATAAATTAGCTACATTTTTTCATTAATTCAAGTTCCCATACAAAAACGATAAGCAAGATTTTTAAATGTCCTGCAAAAAAATGTCTCCATAAAAAAAAATACAAAATACCCTGTTTATAATTTTTGTATCAGCGAATGATTGCTTATGCCAGATAAACTCTTTCCTTATTTTGTCCCTTCAATGACCCACTTTCTCAAACAATCTGTTATGGAAAGATTGTGCAATTTTCTTTGACTGCAGGGTAAAAATGTGGAAGACCAACCTCATGTGAGAATATGTTTTGGCATTTAACACGGCCTTCTGCTTTAGTTAGAACCCTCATTTCCTTGTATGCTGTACGTGGGTTTTGTGAGTCTTCTCTGAGCTGATATGCTGGCAGATTGTGAGCCAGCTGATATCCTTTCTTCTCTCTAGAGGAAGTGTTTTTCCGTACTGTGCTACTCCTGGTGGACTAGATTTCGACAGGAGATGGAAAAACACATCTGTTCTCTATAATTTTACCTAAGCTGATAAAAACAACATACACACATTGCCAGCGGCTCTGATTAGGGATCATATTCTCAGTTCTCTGATCCTAAATGCCTCAATTTACCACAAACCTGACAACAGAGTTGATTTAGTATGCCTGCAGTTTTATACTAGACCGGCTATAACAGTTCTCTACAACCTCAAATATATATCAAAGGCCGTCTTGATAAACACCTATTACTACCCCCATAACATTCATATTTAACAGAAATTAGCAATAATTTTCAAAGACAGAGACCAGGGGTTAGTTTACGGCGCCTGAGCAGCAGATGGCGGTACACACTGAAACATTTACAGATTCATCCCTCAATTTCACTCGACTGAAGCAACATGTCTGCGCCCTCAACACACGCGAAAACAAACATGGAGAGTACAATAACCTTGCACAAGAGTTAACTTAATTGAAACCCCGTATAAACATCCATTTTGTGTAGAGAAAGCTGATTTCAGCGATGACTTTGCGGAGCTGCGAGACGTTTTTACGCAGATCTCTGCGATTCTCGACGGCCCTCAACTTGACAGCATTCCCCGAGCACGAGCAGCTGTATCTGCGTGTGTCATCAGGTGATTTATACATTACACAAAATCTGTTCACTGTCTTTGCATGTCATGTCGGCGTGCTGATTTGTGTGTTAAAGATCACAGGCTGGTTGTTTCTTGTCTTATTCGCCGCTTGGAATAAAATCAAACGCATTGACAAACTACAACAACAACAACGTCAATCACTCAGTCTCTCTCTTTACCTGTCGCTTGTCTTTTTCTTGCTCACAGGTTGCTCAGTATTTCGTCCACAGACAGTGAGGAAATGTCTCTTTCACTGGACCCCGGCCTGCACGGTGTCCCAAGGTGTCTTTTTGGACAGACTTCAGAAGGGAGCTGCTGTGACTGACGAGAGTCTCTGTAATCAGCCAGTGTCTGTTTCACCAGACAGAGGTAAACATTTCCTGCCCCTCTTAAAACCAAGGCTGCTGTATTAAAGATAACGTCATCAAAACAGAAACTTTGTATTTTCTCCTCATGCGCACATGTGATATTTTAAACTGGTTAAGTTAATTGTGTGTGTGTGTGTGTTTGTGTTTTTTCTTCACAGCCCAACAGTTTTCCTTATTAATGAAAGATCCTGATCAACCTGAAAATGCCAAATCTCTTAAAGTTGCAATAGTGGGTTCACCGAATGCAGGGAAGTCCACACTGACGAATCAACTGCTGGGTCGAAAGGTATATTAAGATGATATACAGTATGGATGAAACATTAAAATAATGTTGTGTTAATACGTTTAGGTTTGGTACCAATTCCCACTATTATCTACTGGCTTATTATCTGCTTGTTAATAGGTACAAGCTGCTTATTATGCTTATACTTATAATGAATAATCTTATTATGTATGTTTAATATCACCCTGTAAATAAAAACCTAACTACTAACTATTAAGAAGCAGTCAATTAGATTGAGCAAAAACCTTTTAATCTTTTATTGTACGTAATGGTTTATTAATAGTAGGAATTGTACCTTAAAATGAAGTGTTCTGTGAAGTGAGGAAGTCTTCTGGCACTTTGCACAATCACATACATACAAATATATATGTGTACATCCATGTAAAGAAAATTATTACCCGTGACTTCTAGTGATACATTCAGGTGAGGTGTTATTAAGAGAAATGATTGTTACGTAAAAAAAAAAGTTGCATTATATTCAGCAATATTGCCTATAATCCATACATCCTTGAGAAATGATCTTGAACATGTTTGTTGGACTGTCTGAAGCAGGAGTCTCTAAAATAACTAATGCATGGGTGGAAGTTTTCATGTTACACCTGAGAGTGACGATGCATGTTGTAATTTGTTCTACTAAAAAGGACTTGTGCTCATCCTGGAGGCTGCAACCTATATAGACAAACCTGTTGTGAATGTGCTCATTTTTGTGGGTGTGCAATGTTGTCAGGAGCCAGAGGTAATAATTCTGTTTTGCCTGAATCACCTAATACCATGGCTTCATCTAAAAATCTGTTCTGCCGGAGAAATAAATCTGGTAGCCTAACCTGTTAATATCATATTTCTATATTTATTTACAGTTGTTTGCTGTTTCATCAAAAGTGCACACCACAAGATCACGTGCTGTTGGTGTCCTGACAGAGAATGACACTCAAATTGTAAGTACATATGCTGAATATCCAAATAAATGTCTAGCCTCTGTAAGAAACATCTCTATTTACTGTTAGTGTATATAATTGTAAGTATTGTATATATATTTTTATTTTGTTCAGGTTTTGTTGGATACCCCTGGTCTCACCACACAGATAAAAGCTAAAAGGTGAATGTTTAATCCAACAGTTTCCTAATGACATTTAATAAAGTGAATAATCTCCCATCTCACTGTATTACGCAATAACAGTAAATAAGCCATTTGTGTGTTGATTACCAGAAAATTGTACATACTTTAACTCTGATGTAACATTCTTCTGGTTTGCAATGGATGTGGTAATAAATGTTTACTCAAAAACTAAAATGAGTAGTTGTGATATATTTGTTTAACAGACACCAGCTGGAGAACTCGCTCTTGGTGGATCCATTTAAGTCACTAAAGGAAGCTGATTTAGGTAGTAAAATCTTTTCTTGCTTTTTTTGGTTAGTTAGTTAGATAGATAGACAGACAGACAGACAGACAGACAGACAGACAGATAGATAGATAGATAGCCTTTGATTATATTAACATTAATTTGATTATATTAACATTATTTTCTTTCTGGAAGTTGAACCTGTCTGTTTTTGAGAGAAAAAAAATCACAGTCACATTGGTGTAAATTTCCCACTTCATTCAGAAATAATGTAAAACAGGCTACTGTGTTTTAGTGTCCCTTATTTCTTAACAAATGCTTGAAATTGAACTTTGTTCAGAAGTAGTTCAAAGTAGTTTTGAGGGACAGAAAATGTTCTGATAACTAGTCTTTTCCTTTTATATGCAAGTCAGGTCAGCTAATTTTGCTATATTACATCTGAAAATATGGAAAAGCTGGTGCATATACACTTGCTCTCCCATCAAAGAAATCGCAAACTAATAGAGTAAAACACAATGGGTAAATAGTCATTTGTCTCCTTTCACATCTTGTGATTCAGATGACCAAAGTCGTAATGTTGGGTGAAATTGTAGCCAAAAAGGATGATAATCTCTGTGGAATTGCTCTGTATGATGTGCTGCATCACCATCTTCTTCATTTTTCCCTTTGTATTTGCAGTGGTGGTGTTAGTTGACGTGTCTGATAAATGGACCCGCAGTAAGCTGAGCTATGAGGTGCTGAAGTGCCTGGCCCTGAATCCAGATGTCCCTGCCGTCCTTGTCCTCAATAAGGTATTAGCTGTGTCATTTTGTATTGATTTGTCCCAGTCCAAACCACAGGATTTATCTATGAAGGAAATTACCATCTCTTTTCTTTAGATATCCCATCTCTCATTTGACAGAGAGAGGGAGAGAGAGAGGGCTGTATTTCTGCTGCTGTTATCACAGAAATTACTCTTCCTGTCAAACTCCGTCAGTGATTTAGTAACCTTAAAAAGATATTTCACCCACAAATGAAAAATCAGTCATTATTTACTCGCCTTTAAGTAATTTTTCAAACCGGTTTGATTTTTCTTCCTTCTGTTAAATGCAAAAGAAGATATTTTGAAGAATGTTAGAAACCAGCAGCCATTAGTAGAAGCAACAACGACAACAAAAACACATGATTCAATGGTTACAGGTTTCCAAAAGTTTTTAAATAATAGTGTCCAACCAACCGGCAACCTCCCGCTCTCCCTCAGGAAGCCAATATGGAAGTAACTAAAACTGCAATTCACCCGAAATTCCTCTAGTCCTGGCCGCTCCTGGCTCCAAAACAGAGCAAATTTCAATTGAGCCCACTGTTAGAATGGCCAACTTTACAGCAGAAAAAAATGTGTTTACAGCCTGGTACAAAAAAATATTTTGGTTAATACAGCTAATATTACCCTTCATGACAACTGTGAGGGGGGTGAACTTTTTTTATAACTCATCCGTTTTCTTTATATTAAGTTATATTAAGTTTGCATAATTAAGGGCGTGGCCACTTGATTGACAGCTAGGTCTCGTTGGTCGCCGTCACGTCACCTCAGCTGAATCCTGCAGATTAGCCACTGAACTCGGCATATTTATCGTATTTCTTTGTTGTTTTATGTGGCTTTACACAGTCAACTGCCTTTTGGACTTGTTTCCTACGATTATTAGATGGCATGGCATGCTGAGAGCACTTAATTAAGCTCACAAACCATTCACGTGGCCTCTGTTTCCCATGTGAGTAAAGTTATATACTTATATACCATCTCTATACATGTATTTGTTTTATTTAAGATCATTTATCGTTTAAATTTATATTTAGAGCTGTAATGCACTTCAGAATCTGACAAATTGATTAGCTATAGGCTTTAGAACAGTCATCTAAAGTGTTGTCATACAGTGTTATGCTGGATTTCATCAATAGTCTTACATTAACTAACACAGACTATATCTGAAGTGTTTGGAAGTAATTTGCGTTTTCCTCATGTTGAAAAACGTCATAAGGACAATGTTTAGTGGCTGAAAACACTTTATTGATATAGTATACAACCAAGCACAAGTGGTCAGAATACAAACGAGTCACAGGTGATAAAGTATTAAGCGTTCTCCCAGAGTAAAGTGTGTCTGAACCAGTTCCAAGCAAAATGCTAGCAGGTGTCTGTAGTTCCGCTCACTCTCCTCCTCTTTGCCCTTGTTTGGTATCCCGCCGTGGGTGTGATGATGCGCGAACAAAATGGCGACGGTTGGCCACGCCTACTTGTGGCTACTTTTGCGCTCTTTAGAAACCTATGGGTGACGTCACGGATACTACGTCCATATATTTTACAGTCTATGTGTCCAACAGAAGTAAGAAACTCAGGCAGATTTGTGAAGGGTGACAAGTGAAGGGTGAGTAATTGATGACAGGACAATTTTATCTCTTTAAAGTCCACATAAACTGAAAGCTGTGATTTTTCTTTCATAATGTGATGCAGGGCCTAGAGAAACTGAATATTAAATAAGAAAACAGTGGGCTTGGCTTGTTTTTTTCTGTTGCGAGCTGAATGGATGTAGTCAAGTGAGAGGGGTCTGGACGCACACCTGGTGCAGTGCAACCTGAGCTGCATCCAATGCTTTTTAATGGGCTCACCTAAGCCCACCCATAACCCTATCCCTCACAGTGACGTCATTCGCTCCATTTGAGTGCATTGTGTCTGACATTGCATCGCAGAGTGAAGCAATCTCAGTTTGCATCATAAAGGCTGCATCCAAATACTATTGAGTCAAGTAGGCATCTTTAGAAAGATCACATAATTGGTTTTAGGGTGCTTTTACATTTAGACTTTAGTTTCAGAACCTGGTGCATTTGCCCCACCTAGCGCGTTTCATTTGGGTATATGTGAACAAGATATTCACGCTTGAATCCACAGCAAAGCAATTTGTTCAAGACTGCATAAATGAAGTGGTCTCAACTCAATTTAGACAAACACTGGAGCGGTTTGAATGTAGTAAGAAAGCCATCCAATTTAACAAACCAACGAAAAGCTTATGTTGCAATGTGTGATACATACTAGAGCTGCACAATATTCTGTATCGATATCAGTGTAATCATTCGCAATAGTCACATTGCGAATATAAACAATTTTGAGGCTAGATTAAAATTGATCAATTTTACAAGTGGGTTTGCAGCCTGTGACTGTGTGAGGGTCTTAAAAGCATTCAGGCATAAGCAATTGTACCGTTTATAACTTTGACTAACTACTTAAGATTCATTTATTCATTTAACATTTGATTATTTAATTACTGTAATACTGAATACAGGTGGATGCCTGTAAAACAATAAAATACTGTTTATTTAATTTGTATCTTTTTCTTCATTGAATTTATGCTGGTTTTTCTTCATTGAATTAGCTTGTTTTGCTAATAGCATACGTAAAAATGAACCAAGGATTAACCTGGAGCGCAGCGGAGGTCAAATGCCTCATCAACATTTGGTCAGATGAACATGTAGCATTTAGTATAACAGCTATACAAATTCCACAAAAGCACAGTAATTTACAAAGTATTGAGTAAGCGTCTGCTAGACATGGGTTTCAATCGCTCCATAGAACAGTGACGCACAAAAGTCAACGTAAAAACATGCTATTCACTTCACTCCATTTCTGGAGACGAGAAAGATAAGTTTACCTGCTTCCATAAACTGGACAAAATACATGGGATTAATCTAGTGTTTGTTTGAAGATATATTACAAGCTAACAGACACCATTTCTGTTCATTGTCAAAACTGACAGTTGGAGGGGCGTGGTTAAACATGTTAGCAAAGCCCAATACCTCTAAGGCGTGTAATCTGAGAATTTAACTGAAAAACAAGCAGGAAGTGCATCTTCAGGTTTTAATTAAAGATTAGAAGGGCAAACTTTTTTATTCCTTAATGACATGCAGAGATGAATTCCTCACCACAAAACTAGCAATGCGAGTTAACAAAATCATATGGTTAGTTTTGATTTTTATTTGTACTTTAAATACAACATATTCTAAAGTATTGACTCTGAACGCACAGGTGGACTTACTGAAGAACAAAGCGCTGTTGTTGGACATCACGGCACAGCTGACAGAAGGCATGGTGAATGGAAAGAAGATCAGAATCCATGGCGCATCAAAACCAGTGCGGAAAGCAGCAGCCGGAGCCAACAGCAGACTTAAAGAAAAAAAAGCTGCTGGGAGCCTGGAGGACGAGGCGGATCATGAGGACAAGCTGAAGGCCCTGAAGAGCCACGGGGGGTGGCCGCATTTCAAAGACGTTTTCATGCTCAGTTCTATTGACCATGAAGATGTGGAAACATTAAAGGTATAGGCTTTTTGACCTTTTTAGTTTTTACATATGCAATCAACTATTGATAGCTTTCACGTGACATCATAGCATTAGGGGAACTCCGGGTGCTCCGGTTTCCCCTACAAGTCCAAAAAATGTGCTACAGTTGAATTGGGTATGCTAAATTGTCCGTAGTGTATGTGTGTGAGTGAGTGTGTATGGATGTTTCCCAGTGATGGGTTGCAGCTGGGAGGGCATCTGCCGTGTAAAACATGCTGGATAAGTCGGCAGTTCATTCCGCTGTGGCGACCCCTGATTAATAAAGGGACTGAGCCGAAAAGAAAATGAATGAATGATAACCTTGCTTAAAAATACCACGGTGTAACAGTATTGTGATTACTGCTTTAAAATAAGTTATTTTTAAATGTCTGGGTAGAACAAAAAAATATATTTTTCTTTTAGGAAACATTTATAATATTTTGGAGCAGTAAACATGTCTGGCTAAATAATTCAAATTAATCATTGACTTCTGTCTTCATTTGTGTAAAAAACAGATTTCTTTACAATAAAATCTTACATATACCACGGGAACAGTATAACAGAATATTTTAGCAGTAATATTACCTTGACTTTTCCAAACCACAGTAAATGTTGAAACCGGTTATCGTCTCATGCCTATGTGGAATATATACTAACCAATGAGGAGACATGCCTGAGAGAAAGAAAACCAGCAAGGCAAAATTTCTGGATTTGTGCCAAGTAGCAGCATTCCTGATTGACCCATCCCGATCTAAAGTGCCTATATCTGTCAGTACTTTTGTACACTGTTTCTATTTTAATTTGCAGTTAAAAGGATAGTTTGCCCAAATATGAAAATTCTATTATAATTTACTCATCCTTGTTTAAAACCTAATTGAGTTTCTTTCTTCTTTTGAGCACAAAAGATGTCCATTGAATTCCATTGTATTTTTTTTTCTGTTATGGAAGTTAATGGGTCCGAGCAACAATCATTCTACAATCATGAAACTATTTTACATTCTACGTTTTTTTTGTGTTCAACAGAAGAATAAGAGCATGAAAAGCATATGAATGAGAATAAATATTAAAGTACTTTTCCTTTTTTAGTAAACTAAACTAAAATGCAAACTATGAAAGCAGAAGTAATCAAATAATCAGTTCAAGTGATCAGTTGAACAACTGAATCTAAGCTAAATAATCCGATACCAAATAAAAAAACAGACACTTATGTTCTACACTGCCATCTTCAATGATTGAATCGCTGAGGTATTCTCACCAGTATAAAAATATACAGTGCTCAGCATGCACAATTACACCCCTCACAAATCTCTCTTTTAAAATCATATTTTTTAACAGGAAGCTTTACAATATAATATTTGTGCATATACATTAGATTAGTCAGTACTGAAGCCAAATCTAAAGCTGATCTAACAAAATAACTTGCGATAACAGTACAAAAACTAGCACACCCAAATTTATATATTAGAGAAAAATATTAAATACAAATTCAAAAAAAGAAGAAAAATCAAGAGAAACAAAATTCGGTAAAAAAAAGAAAGAAATAAATTTTAAATATTTTAAACATTTTGCTAAAATTTTATTGTCGCATTTTTCAATTTCTAAACATGTTTGGTGACTAAAATATTATTTTAATAAATATATCTCCTTAATAAATCTGTTTTGTTTAAATGTACCTAAATACATTGCCTATATTCACTGAGAAATAGATTGTACTCAGTTACTGAGCACTGTAAATATCTCTGAATTGGAGCTCAGGCAGGGACCTGACCATTTATAATCACTTAAGAATGGGAGCAGGTGTTTAGATGTACATGGATCACAAGTACCCATGTCTATTTTCTATTCTATATATATAGCACAAAATATACAGTTTCTGTCTTTTTGTTATGCTGACAATTTGATTAAAATATTTGTAGCATGAAACAGAAGGAAATCTGAACCACTTATGCTGCGTTTCTATGGAGGTCTCAGTGTAAGCTGCTATTGCGTCTGCTTTTTTTGCTCACCAGGTCTTAGCACAGGTCACGTGACTGAAAAAGATCAATTGACACTTTAATCTCAAGTGTTCTGCTGCTTATCTTTAATTTGCCTGTGTTTAAATCTGCAAAAGAGGTACTTGTTCGTAGCTGCAAAGCCTTGCCAGTGGCAGTACCACAGTGAGGTCCTGACAGATCAGAGTCCTGAGGACGTGTGCTTCAATACCATCAGAGAGAAACTACTGCAGAATCTCCCTAAAGAGGTGCCGTACACTATGACACAGGTGGGTTATGATCATTTTTGATTTGTTAACGCACACACTGCAATTCATGGTCATTATTTTTCTCTGATTTTAACTTTCATTAAGCAAGGATTCAGACAGCGAAGACTGTTATAAAATTTTTGACAAAATATTACTGTTTCAAATAAATGTTTTTCTGGTGAATAGAATAATTATTATTGAATCCTCAAACATTTTGTTTGCCCAAATATATTTATCATTGCAACTTTTCCACATTGATAAGAAAGTAATAAGGGAGTTCGGTAACACTTTATTTTAAGGTGTCCTTGTTAGAAATCTTCCATGTACAGTATTTACAATTAATTATGCATAATTTCATGCAACTAACCCTAAAGGTAACCTGCAATTTAAACCAAACCATATAACAAGTACATGTAATTAATTATTATATATCAGTAGTCAAATGAATAGTCATAAACACATTAAAAATGAAATCAGTAGAACTGATCATTATTTCTGAAGGATCAAGTGACTGAAGACTGCAGTAATGATGGTAAAAGAGTGTGAATCGGTAATTACATTTTAAAAGATGCATATATTAAATTGTAATGCTAAGTGAATAGTTTGAGATTAATACTAATGATATTGTAGCTCTTATGAGAAAATAATATTGTGACAACATATCACAGTGTTTTGCTGTTTTTAATGTTGTGTTCTTTATTACATAAAGACAGCCATACTCTCATTCCTTTCCGACTATTCTTTGTATAACATGTTTTAATTGAGTTTTTCAAGATTTTAAAATAATTCAAATCCCATACCCACAACTTAAGCCAGGCAGACTTAGGAAAAAAAACAAAATTAAATAATAATCCTTGTTAAAAGTAATAAAAAAAATAAAAATAGTATTACAATAAATAAATTAATAATAATAAAAAAGAATTACTTTCAGCTATTCTTTAAAAATATTGAACTATTGCAACTTGATTATACCTGTTATTTATAAGTACATGTTATCTAAAAACTCTTTTCAGTATATTTCAGTATATATCAGTATACAGATGAAATCAGAATTATTAGCCCCCCCTCCCTTTTTTTTTTCTTCATTTTTAGACATTTCCTAAACTATGTTTACCAGCAAGGGAATGGTCACAGTATGTCTGATAATATTTTTTCGTCTGGAGAAAGTTTTATTTGTTTTATTTCAGCTAGAATAAAAGCAGTCTTTAATTTTTTGAAAGCCTTTTTAGGGACAATGTTATTAGCCCCTTTAATCTATTTTTCTTTTTGATAATCTACAGAACAAACCATCATTATACAATAATTTGCCTAATTACCCTAACCAGCTTAGTTAACCTAATTAACCTAGTTAAGCCTTTAAATGTGTATGTGTGTCTTGGAAAAATATGTAGTCAAATATTATTTACTGTCATCATAGCAAAGATAAAATAAATCAGTTATTAGAAATGTGTTGAAAGAAATCTGCTCTCCGTTAAACAGAAATTGGGGATAAAATTAAACAGGGGGGCTAATAATTCAGAGGGGCTATTAATTCTGACTTCAACTGTATATTTTACCCCTGTATAACTCTTGATTTGATCTGTACCAAAATAAATAATTGTATGTATTCTTAAATGTCACAGTGTTTCACTTATGATTTTGCCCCTCTTTTTTCTTTTTCTTTCTAGGAAATTGAAGTCTGGAAGGAGTCTGAGGATGGGGTGCTCGACATATCCATCAAACTGTATGTGCAAAAGGAAACCCATATGGTGAGCTCTCTGTTTCATAATGCTCGTCTCTCCTCTTTATATTCCATAGAAACATTCATTTATTTAAAAAACTATTTATCACCAGGCAAACAATTTGATACTTCACTATAAAATAAAACCTTATTTTTCATTCCTGCAGAAAATGGTTATCGGTCCTGGAGGTCAGCTGATAACCAGAATAAACCAGGAAGCTGGAAATGACCTGATGAAGATTTTCTTGTGTAATGTGCGCTTAAAAATCTCGGTGAAGTTGAGGAAGTGAAGTTAACTCTGTTAACTCTTCAGATGACAGGTCATAGCCTGATGCATAAAGAAGGACACAGAAACCTTAAAAAAAAGAGATATTTAAGAGTGAAGAAATGGACAAGAACTCAAAATATCTCTACTTATACAAGATATCAACAGATGTTCTCAAATGAAATTCAAGTTTGGCATATAACATGGTTTTCTGTTTAATTTTAGTTGCAAGACTGCCATTTGTTTTATTAACAATACTGGGATACCATCTGCCTATGCAGTTTTATATGTCACTGCTTTCGATTGATCAAGCAATCATGTAGTTCTGCACACAGTGAACACAGCCTCACTTTCTTACGCTCTGTTTTTTCATCACTAGTATTTAATGTCTTCAGTGGTCAGGCTGTTATCTGCCACTGAGGCCTGCTCTTTTACTCAAAGTCTTGCGTAATATTATTACACTGACCTGAAATCAGCCAACTGCAGGCTTTACCCCAGCTCTAATATGTTGGGTCAAAGGACTGTCAGACAAAAAGCTAAGCTGTTGTTTGCTGAATCCTGCTCAACATTGACTACTCGCTGCTTACTAAAACTGAGACCACCCTTTCTAAATAGTATGTAATTGTGTCTTTAGTAATAATTTCTTTACTTGCTTCAATTATTGCATCACTTTTAGACAGTAGTGTTCTGTGTAAAAAAAGTCTCATGAAGTTATGGATACTTTATCTCCTGACAGCAGAAGATTTTGTTTTAATCAGACACATACAGATCGACTCGCATAGTCACTGAGCTTATGCAGCTACTCTAATTTGCTTGCTTTAGGGCTCACTGTTGTTTAAACATTCGGAATTGGAACGATTATAAAACATTATTATTACTATTTAATATATTTTAAAATGTCATTTATTCCTGTCTTGTCAAAGCTGAATTTTCAGCATCATTACTCTCCAGTGGTTCAGTGTAAAATGATTCTTATATGCAGTTTTGGAAAAAAAATGGGTCACACTTTACAATAAGGTTTATTAGTTAATGTTAATTAATGCATTTAAAAAACATTAACAAACAATGAACAATACATTTACTACTGTAATTGTTCATGTTAGTTAACGTTAGTTAATGAAAATACAGTAGTTCATTGTTAGTTCATGTTAACTCATGGTGCATTAACTAATGTTAACAAGCATGGACTTGGATGTTAATAATGTATTAGTAAATGTTCAATTATGATTAATAAATGCTGTACATGTGTTGTTCATGTTAGTAAATGCATTAACTAATGAACCTTATTGTAAAGTGTTACCAAAAAAATTATTATTACAGTTATTCTGCTTAAAATTTGTATTTCTTTTTGTAAACTGTATTACTATATATTTTTGAAGAATTTAAAACGTAAAAGAATCTTAATTATTTGCTGTCACTTTTGAGCAAAGTAATGCATCAGTTTAAGAAGGGGTTAATTTCTTTAAAATTTACATAAGTTATGCTAAGTCTAAATGTTTGAGCGATAGTGTGTGTTTATATTGTTAATTACACAACTGTTAAAATGTTTTTCTGTTAAATAATAATAAATATAGACTGTTTATTTCATTTGTTTTGTCAGATTTTTTGAAACATGTGGAAAAAGACATTTAAAGTTCCTCTGCCTAGAGGCTTAGATAACCTTTCTAATGCAGCAATGTACAATTCAGCTAACCCGCTGCTAAAGTGGCCTTTAAAATGGTGATCAGATGCATTTATTTCCCATTTCTGCCCAGAACTCCATGATGAATCATACACTTAAACCTAAAGCAGTGAGAGAGCCCTCGTTCTTTCTCTGTTTCCTTACTGGCCTTTAATCTTATTTCATTTGGCAGCAGCAGTTAATGCTGAGTTCATTAAAGATGCTCGTTCATCTCGTCTTTGGCTCACAAACAAGCAACCTTTGTAAACCTTTTGTGTAAAAGTGATGATCAAAAGTGGATCATATACAAAATTGTAGATAATAAATTGAAACAAGCAAAGTAATTTCATATTCAGTGGCATTTATTAAAAGTATACAAAATAAAACATTTACAGGCTATAAGTGCTTGAGATTAAAAGTTTAATGTGTTAGTTCAATACATGAGAAGTTTTCTTTTTCCACTTGAGATGTTCTTCGTTCTCTTACATCCAGATGATTGTTGAGAAAAGGCAGCAGAACCCTTACCATTACTAAACTCAGTAATGGTAACGGTTTCGCCGCCTCTCTCTGTCACAGCGATTGTGTTTGTCCACAGGAAACCGTCAGAGGCTCGTTGACCCCCTGGATAGTACATCATCTATACTGTAGTGTCTCAATAATGAACTTACAGTATACGATGATATCCTGTCTAGAGAGCAAGATTAAAACAATCAAGTCTTTTTGTAGAAAATCAATTTAAATGACATTCATAACAGAAAAAATGCATCTAAAATCACATTTGACCACTGTCAAAAGTTTCAGAAACGTCCTTATTAGTGATCTATATGGTCTAAATTAAAGAAGTTTCTTCCTGAGGAAGTTTTCTCCTGAATTCTTCACAGAATCACATTGAACTCTTCATCAGATGAGGAAGAGCATCTGCCGTCCCGTAGTTCGTAGTCACCACACTCACCTTTAGATGTGCGTCTTCAGTCGTCCCGCAGGAAGTGTTGAAGAGCGGTTTAATTGCCTTCATCTGTCACCTTTACACGTCTTCTCACTTTTGTTTTCACATGTCTGTTGTCTCCATGCTGTGAAGTGATCGTAAACGTTGACTCCTCGCTCGTGAGTTTTAATGCTCGCTGCTCATTTGCATATGATGACACACAAAGGCTGTGCCGTCCTTATCATGCATGTGCCCTTCAGCCCACTGACCAATCAGATTCGTTCCCTGTATCAGACCCTGAACAGCACCAAGACTCGCACTTACGCAAGTGTGTGTGACCCCACACCCAAACTTACCCACCCTCCAAAACACTTGAAATTCTACCAGAATAAATATCCCCCACCCAACAAACATATATGTTACGTTTATTTTATTACAATAAAAACATTAACTGGAGTTTTCAAACATTTTACAGTGTTTATATAAAATAATTTGATAATAACAACTTCTATTTAATTATATATAACATTATTTTTGATAGTTTTTTTCATGACGTCATGTTTAAAAAAGTGCATTATAATAGTTTGTACACCAGTTTCCAGTGCAGTTGTCAGTTGTATTACAATAAAATAAATAGAATGAAATAAAATATATTTTAATAAATTTGCAAATGACTCTCCAAAATAGAAAAAAAAATGTGTTTGTGTTGAATATTTAATATAAAGGCCAGTTCTTTAATTATAATATGCGTGTTTGTCAATTTCTTGAGATGGATTTTGTGCTTTTACAATTTATCTTCAACACAGTTGCCAGGTTTATAGATTAAACTGTAAAAATATCTGTTCATTAACAGTTTCTGTATTTTGAGACTCACAAGTGTTTTCTATTTATTTACACTTGTGAATTGCATAATGGGATTTTGATCTCTGTCGACTTTTGATGTTGAAAGTTCAACTCTACAGTTCAAAAAAGTGATTGTTATTGACATTTTAGTCATTTGAAATCGTATAATGCATAGGAAATAAATATATAGAAATAAGTGTAAAATAACAGAATATGTGCTGGAAGTTTATTGCAAGGTTTTTGTAGCATAATATATAACACCAACTTAGACATTAATCACTTTAAACTATTAAACATGTTAATAAAAGTCGCTTTTTTCAACTTTTCAAGGTTAAAGTTGTTGAAAAGATCGAGGTCCCATAATGCAATTCAAAGTCATGAATAAATAGGCAAAATAAAAACATGAATCAAATACAGAAAACTGATCATTTGTGCTCTACTTCAAAATTTAACATGCAATTCATTGTTTATCCATTTTTTTCTGGTGATAATTTTATTTATAAATGTTATATATAATACTTTGTGGATCCTATAATATGAGATATTTGAGATTTCAGATCTGCTTGGTTTTTCATTAGAATAGTCAGTAACCAAAGGTGGTTAACCAATTGTGATTAACATGCATAATATTAGATTTAATTTGTTTTAAAATGTAATGCCTTTTACAGACAATTAAAATGCATTATTGTAACTTACACTTTTTTTTTTTTGTTCAAAGTTTTTTTTTATTGGTTTTTCTTGTTATAGAGAGCAAACAAACAAAAACAAAACACCCCTTTCCAAAAACACCAGATCTAGGATCAATACATAATCAAATGTCCATCGAGAAAATAGAAGATAAAAACATGACATTAAAATATGACACAAGTTCATTTTCTCATTTTGTCATGTTGTGTGCATTCATTTCAATGACACGAGTTAAAAAGGTTGCCAGACGTTATAAATGTCGCTTTGATAGCATAGTATTTTCTCCAACTTAAGATGAGACATTACAGTGATATCCAGTAATTGTGTTGCTGGAATAGGGTCTTTCTATTTAAATAATATCAGTCTTCTGGTCAGAAGAGAACCAAAGGCTGACATTTTAATTTGTCTTGTTAAAAGGAGCATTCTCAGGGGCCACCCCGAACAACGTGAGAAATGGTGATGGCTCTACTTCCACGCCAAATGCCTCAGAGAAGGATACCATATGCTTTTGATATCTTTATGATGCAATTTGACCTCGCTCATGTTAACAAGTGTAAATTACAAAAAAAAAAAAAATGTTTAGTAAAAATACATCAATATATATTTTGCAATTGTTTGATCAAAGTTCAATAATGCAATTTAAAAGCTTAAATAAACAGGAAAAATAAAAACATGAATCAAAAATACAAATATTTTACCATTTTTTTTTTACTGTGTACACTAGCCAAAATACACGCAGATCTGCTTTCTTGGTTTACATTAGATTAGTCAGTAACCAAAGACAAAACAAAACTGAAAATATCATTACCAAATAATGATTTAGGATCATAAGTACAAACCAATGAAAATGTGTCTGCAAAAAAGATAAAATACAATTGTGATTAACATACATAATATTAGATTTAACTTGTTTTACAATGTAATGTCTTTTGCAGAAAATTGAAATGCATTATTTTATTTTATGCTTTTGATATCTTCATGATGTAAGGTGACCTCACTCGTAGGCTTGGGGGGTAATATGGTATACCGCAGGATCTAAAAATGGCAATTGTATCAGTTTCAGTACCGTTACCGTCATAAAAACAATGCACTAATATACGAGACAAATATTAAATATTATTTATATAATGCTTAAAAATGCATATGCGTGATTGTCATCACGGG